AACTCCCTTCTCCAATCTGTCTTCCATCTCCAAACCCCCTTACACCACTCCCCCATCTCTCCAACTTTTATATCAACATTCTTTGCCACATTTTTTAACCTTGGCATATCCATCCCAAGATTTCTCCCTTTCAACCAAACAGCTTTACAAAACTTAACTCTATTACCATCACCCATTTCCCAAGTAAAGCTATTCCCCACAATCCCCACCATCTCACTACCTTCCTTTCCTAAGGATACAATATCTTCCCATATTTTTGATACCTTTCTCCTCCTAATTTCGCCTACACCCACTTCTCCCTTTACACCATAATATTTTTCTAATAGAATTTTCTTCCACAATCCTTTTGAGCCATCCACAAACCTAGCCCACCACTTTCCAAGCAATGCTAAGTTGCATTTCCTTAAATCCCTAACCCCTAAACCTCCCTTCTCTTTTGTTAAACATACCCAATCCCATCTCAACCAACAAATCTTCCTTTCCCCTTCCCCAAACATACTCCATAAAAAGACTCTCTGAATTTTTTGAATAATTTTTAGCACACAAGCAGGAATTTGAAACAAAGATAAATAGTACAAAGGGAGAAAAGAAGGTACCGATTAAAGGAGAACCAAACGACCACCAAAGGACAAGGATTGAGCTTTCCAGCCGACAAGCTTTTTATAGAAATTTTCTATCACTGGTAGCCACATTCTTCTCCTCCTCTGGTTTTCCCCAATTGGCACTCCCAAGTAGAGAAATGGAATTTCACCCATTTTGCATTTTAGAAAGTTGGTTGCCCTTGATAGCCAATTGTTCTTTGTATTGAATGCATAAAGTCTACTTTTCTTGAGATTAACTTTCAACCCCGACATCAATTCGAATGACCTTAAAATGCCTTTCACTGTTCGAATGTGGTTCATTCTAGCCTTACCCATTATCACTTTGTCATCTACAAATTGAAGGTATGAGATCTGAAGGTTTCTCAAGCCCACATTAACACCTTCGAATAGGCCTTCAACCACTGCCTTTTGAATCAAATAGTGTAGGCCTTGGGCAACTAAAAGAAATCGGAATGGAGATAGAGGATCCTCTTGTCTTAAACCCTTTTCCATCCTAAACTTCTTTGTTGGGCTTCCGTTTACCAAAAAAAAACCCGTGCTAAAGATACACATTCTGCAATCCATCTTCTCCATTTCTCCCCAAATCCAAACTTCTCCATCATGTAGTTCAAAAAATTCCAATTTACACAATCATAGGCTTTGTCAAAATCCACTTTCAAAATAAAGCTGTCTACCTTCCTCCTTTTAATTTCATCCACAATTTCTTTAAGCACCAAAATTCCATCCACTATCTGCCTTCTTCCCACAAAAGCTAATTGGTTCTCACTAATGATATTGTCCATAACCCCTTCAACCTATCAGTAAGGAGTTTTGCCACAATTTTGTACAAACTTCTAATGAGGCTAATAGGCCTAAAGTCTTTTAAATCTATCGGGTTTTTTGTTTTTGGAATCAATACAATAAAGCTTGAGTTTAGTCCCCTTACCAATCTTCTATTTGTGTGAAAGTCCTTCATGAGCTGCATTATATCCCCCTTCAACTAGA